CCCCAAAACCCCAAAACCCCAAAACCCCAAAACCCCAAATAACAAAATTACTATTGAAATTATAATCCCTTTAAACAATGACCGTAATTCAGAGTGTCCAAGAGGTAGAGAAACTAAGCCAGATGATCTTCTATGACAGTGTAAACCTCCCTCATGAGGTAGTCTTAGGAGTAGATTGTGAAGGAATTGCACACGGCTGGCCGATGGCTTTGCTCCAATTATTTTTTAGAGGAGAAACCTACCTTATTGATTTAGCTACAGAAAAGTCGCTTCTATATTATTTGAAAGATGTCTTAGAAAATCAGTATATCATCAAAATTTTTCATGATTTTCTTGGTGATTGCGCCTCTATTGTCCAGAACTATGGGATTGAATGACAAGGAGTTTTTGATACCCAAACCGCCAGAAGACATTATTCAGAACTTCTTCAAGAAAATACCATATGCTATAGTATCGGTCTTGGAACCCTCATGGAAGAATTTCTGGATACTAAGCATTCAAATAAGAAAGAGATGCAGAAGAAAATGAAAGAAGACCCTTCCTTCTGGTATCAAAGACCCCTTTCTCAAGAAATGGTTGATTATGCTGTACAGGATGTCAATTTACTCCCTGACCTTTATTATTATTTTAGAGATCTCTTCCAAAATTTAGAAGAGGATTACCAGTATGAGCAGAATTTACTGACTGAAAAGGTAATCGAAGAAGCCACCATATGCAACAAAGTAGCATATATAAACAAGGATAAACAGACAGATCAGCTTGAGGCAGGAGACCATTTGAAAGGAATCATAAGAAATATAGCTAAAAATGTTATTTTTGTTGGACTAAACATCGGTGTAGCAGGATGAGTCAAAGATAAGGCAAGTCTCGAGTATATTAAAAACAATATGAGGGTCTATGAAATTTACGACTTTGTCTACACTAAAACTAAGAACAAAAGCTTGGTTTATCTCAAGCTTCCAAATACATATAAGGCAAAGCTTAAGAAAGAATCAAAATCGTTCAAAAAGCAAAGTATGAAAGAGGTGAAGCCATTTATACCGAAGAAGAGCAAAGCACTGCCAAAGAAAAATAGTTTGAACACAAGCTCTTGTAGTTTCTTACCTAAAACAAAGAAGGCTAAATTGAGTCCAGACGCTCCTTTCTTTACTCCCAGTTCATCTCAGATTCCTCAACTCATGGAAGATAATTTTGAATCTTCTGGTGACTTCGATGAAGAACAAGATACAAAAGAAGAAGGAGACAGTATTGAAGAAACAAACAGTAAAGAAGAAGGCGGGAGTATCGAAGACAGCTCAGAAAACATTATAGAGGATGAACCTCACTCAAAAGCATGTACAGACGTTGAAGAAGCCTTAAAGAAACTGTCTATTGAGTGTGAGGTAAGAAAGTAGCTTCACCTAACTCAAATAAAATAGAATAAATCAAAAGAAAAAGTATTTGAAGACTCTTCTAGACCAAAAACTTCACATGCAGAAGGTATGTTTAGTAAAAGAAAATTCTAACTTCATATAGAAGAAGCCAAGCATCTTCAATCATCAATAACAAAGTTGAGTCTGTGCTCTAAAATCTACAAAAGCCAAAAGAAACTAGATGAACGCAAGAAGCTTGAATCAACGCCTTCTTTAAACCTGAAATCCAAGAACTTTACTCCCTCTCAAACCGCAGGAAAGAAGCTTTCTCTTTAAGCCTAGTATATCTCTAATATTCTAAACCTGCACTTTTTGTCACTGCTCCACTCCTTTAAGCTCTTCCTAAACCCTTTCTCCTCCTACCAAGCCAGTCTGTTTCTTCAGGACGCAGCCACTCGCACTGGGCAATGCCCAGTGCGAGTGGACTAGAGCGGGTCAAGAAGTTTAGGCTTTAAGGGAATAGAAGGGGAATTTAGAAGGGAAGAAGGAAGGGGTTGTGGGTAAAGAGAGTGGAGGGTTTGAGGGATAAGGGATTTTGAAGGGATCTTTGTGGGAAGAAGGGGTTCAATTGGGTTTGAGTAGTCTGGGGTTTTGGGGTTTTGGGGTTTTGGGGTTTTGGGG